ACACACTTGTGAAAATATATATCATTACCTATTATACAGTTTATATAAATATCTATATCTGATAATATTTTTGAAATATTATGACACTTTAGTCGTTAATATTTCAAAATATTTCGTTTTATATTTTATCATTTATGATGCATTTTGTAGTTGGTTGATGATCGTTTTTATGTAAAATCATTTACTTACAATAATAAATGTTAATACATTTATTAAGATATTGGTAACTTATTAATTATCATTATTTTTTTCATTTATTTTTATGGCGTTATTACTTATTTTTTTATTTTGTACTATACAATACCATATAAACCTACATTTTTTCTTAATAATACGTAATACACGGTAACGGGATAATTTCTGTGGATCACTATAGATACATTACATATACACAATATACGTCTTTACGTGTATACGTCTATACATCTATATTTTCTGTATAAATATTATATATTTATACTCAATTTAAGACTAGTTGAAAAAAATCTATTATTTCAATCAAAGAACACCAATTTTTTCTTAAAAAAACATATGAACGTAGTAATGCGATTATACATTTGAAAACTGCAATTATATATTATATGAATACTGCGATTTCTAGTTCATAAGTGATAAATAATATAGATTGATATTAATTATTGTAAAATATTAAGTAATAACTGTATTTTTAACTTGCAGTAGTATAGTCAATATACATTTACTCATAACATTGTTTATTATTTTTCAAAGATTACAATTGTGTATTTGGTTAAAAAAATGATAATAATATTTGTAAAATTAAAAAGAAAAAAATTGATTATTCTGAAGAAAAAAATTACAAAGAGCATGTATTATCATTAAAAAATTGGCGAATGAATTATATAAAAAACACTACATCTAAAAATAAGTAGTTAATGTTTTTGTTTATTTTAAAAATAATTTTAAATATAATTTTTATCCGAAAATTGTTATTTTATTTCATAGGAATACTCTAATATTTTGATTTAATCGGATCAATATCAAAATAATGACTTACACTGGAGAATTAATTAATTACTCGTTAATACATTTTATAACCTATATATATAATAAATAAGTAATTAAATTTGTTTTTAAATTAAAAATATGCAATAAACAAGAAGTTGTGTCTTCTGGATACCCAAAATACCCTCTACCGATGAATTTTGCTCTGTTAACATTTACTTTAAATACTAGTCAGGAGTTTTCAAATCTATAAAAATGTTCTGCAACATTAAATATGCCCCGCATGTCTAATCCTGCATACTCTTTTTTCATGACCACCTAAAGTTAAAATTTTGCCGATATTGGATATTTGTGCGTAAAATAATAACGATTTTGATATATTTTTTTGACTCATTTTAACTATAGATCATTATAATTATACTTATATAGTATTTAAGATTTAGATTCATCAACTACAATACTTATTATATGAATTTCGTATTTTTATTTATATTTCCGTTGTATGTAAGTTGAGTTTCCTCTTTGGTTGCTTCCAAGGAATACCTCCTATTTGTTTTTTTACTTCTCCATGAAACCTAACCTAACTATTCATAAATATCCAATATTGGCCAAATTTTAACTTCATACGAAAAAAATGTATTATTAGTTTTAAAATTTCATATGAATAAACTTTAATTACATTTTCAAACTTAGTAAGTAAACATTTTTTTCTAAAATATTATGCATTTTTTGCAAGACAAACTTCATATAACTAATTGAAAATGTTGTTACTTTATTGTGTGGATACCCAAAGATAAAATAAACATATTTTTTTCTTTTTAATTCCATTTTAATATTATTATGCATAGACATATTGTAATTATGTAAATTTTAATTATTGTAGGAACTTGGGTTGATAAAATAGATTGTGATGATATACTTTCAGAAAACAAAATGGAAGTAATGTCGTTGGAGTTTTACCAAAATCACTTGTTGCCAGAAGTAATTAACCCTCGATTAAACATACCTAACATATAATTGCCCTATTTTTTTTTTTTTTATTATGTTTTTAAACGTGATTGATAATAATAAATTTATTAAATAAATACTACATTAAAATTATTATTATAATATATTATTTATATTATAATTTTATTAAATTTATTTATTTATTAAGTAAATTGTATATTTATAGTATCATTTATTATTACATCGTGATTACATGTATAAGTGTAATAGATTTTTTTATTTTATACTTTAAATTTAAAACATTTTTAATCAATAATCTTGGTTATTTTATGTATATATCTTTATTTAATTTTGTAGTAGTTGAATAATTTTTTTTTAGCAACGTTGTACAACAATGGATTATGTGTTAATATCACTCATAGGCCATATTATAAAATAATATTGTGTTTTCAGAACTTCTACCTGTATCATTAGGTACCCACCTGGCTGGCAGTGTCACTAACACAAACAATAACTTACCACACATACACCGGTACGGATCGTACGAACTTCTTATAAGATTGCCTATATTAAACTCCTTAAAGACTGACCGTTTGCAATTATTCCCTTACTCGTTATGTGAAATGATGTTTAACTGTTATTTCCTAAATTGGCTAAACTAGAAATCAATGTTGTGACTGCGCTTTTGTAAAGTTAAAATATCAAACAATAAACTTTATTTTTATTTATTATGATAATTAATATTTTATTTTATTTTTTATGTGAAGACGTGAAGTATTATGAAAACAATAACGAAAATTCTTCCTCACATTTTTAAAATTATTAAAAATATAAATATTCCTAATTTATTCTCATTGACTTAAGTAGAAGAAATGAATACCATCTCTCCCCTCCTAAATGACGTACGAAATGCCGCCCGGGTTTATGAAAGGCACGTACGAATTGAGGCGATATTATATTACATACTTAGTCATGACGGGTCGGCTAGTTGATTATATGTGTATAAAAACATAAAAAACTGTCAGTTTTTTAATTTTTAGACAAGCGTTAATTTCTTATTGTTGATAGATTAACTGAATTCTAGTTTTTTTTACGATTGTGTATTTCAAAATATTCCCGAAAACCCTGTGTTACTTGTCTATTATCCCTGGAGCTTAAATATAAAAAACTTCAGCATATTTAAATATTGATTGAGTACAAAGCAATATTTAAAGTTTTTTTGGTAAACTAATTTGATTTTTGAGTATACAAGAAATAGTTACAAATTATTTTTATTCAGAACATTGAATAAATACATTTTTGTATATTAGTCTAATCATTAATTTATCTTTATCAAATTATAGGCTTAGTTATATTTTTTTTTCATAATTTTGAATACGTTTTGATAATAGCTGGTATTCATAATTGCTAATTGAGACTTTTTGAGTATCAAACAGTTCTTATTTTTTAATTACATTTTATTTTTATCATAATTTTAATTTAAATTCAATCGCGAGTTTTTATAGTGTATAATGATATGCTCACACATCATTGTATATTACATATTCATAAAATTTAAATAAATAAATTAACGGTCAAGTAGTCGCACGCAGATTAAAACCTCATAAACATCCTTTTGACACGGTACGCAACGATCGTCGGTACAAAGTTCAGACACCGCAGCAACCGGTCTTCACTATCACCACGACAAACACGGGTACGGGGTAAAGTCACGATATTGTCAACTCTCCCACCAACGCCGTAAAAGGCCTAGGCGGGACGGGAAGACAAGTCGTGCTAGACGAGTACCGGTCCGCGAAAACAGATCACTTTATCTTCCACACCCGAAGGTGTTCGTAACCGTCACCGGTAATCATTTTTATTGTTTATCCACATACATGGTTAAAATGTTTGTCTTGTCTACGAAGCATTGTTTTGATTATATTTTATTATTTAACTAAGACGTTATTCGGTGAGTTCTTTCTTTTTTTTTTTGGTTTTAATTTGTTTGTTTTAAACAAATTCTCATCGACCGCCGAAGCCGCGTCACTTTCACCACTGATAAAAGAAACGACTTATATTATATGGTTACAAAGGGATTGACACATGATTTGTGGCAATGTGCTGCAAAGCGTTTGACCCAGTTTCGTGTGCCGCCAAAGACAAGGGATGGTCCAATGAGGGTCTCTGTCGCTTAGGAGAAATCCTATTTCTTTAGAAAACGCGGAGACCTTTGATGATGCCACCTGTGACTCTGGCTGGCTTGACCAGGTCGTCTTATCTCATCAGTGCATGAGCACCAGCCAAGCTATCGAGTGCATGAGCACCGACTAAGTTACAAAATAAATGCAGGCGCACCAGACAAGCGAGCAGGAGTTCTTCCCAAAACCACCACACGGCAATACGGCATACACACAAGATTCCGCGAGTGACAGCTGAACTTTTTTTTTATAAGTTAAATCAGAGTTGTTTTTCTTATTTAAACTTAAGTTTTTCTTAAGTCGTATCGTAATTTGTGTCACCTCTCATCTTTCTCCGAGGAACATACTATAAGTATTCACTGCAGCGAATCAGGTAAGGTGCATGTCTAAAATACTTATTGTTAGTACATGTTCTTTTATTATATAATTTGCGTAACGGTGTATTTGATCATATTCTCGAATAACAATCTCGAGAGCCCTCCAAAGAACAGGAGGAAGGTAATAACACGAGAACAAGCATATTCAATAATTTTTAATACCGGACTTACATACAAGGCTTATGTCCCTTGTGTCAATTCGGCCGCATCTTTTTGACATACTTTTAACTTAGATATTTTTAACCTACTTTTGCTTTATTTTCACGTTATTACAATTTACAATAGTTGACACTAATTACCTCAGGAAATATTTAAAATTTATGAAAATACTAATCACAGATACTATATATTTTCATCATAATTTAATATTCTAAAGAAATATTTTTTTGTTAGGTTTTGATATGCATATACATAGTATGATAAAAGTGATGATTTTTGAACAGAACACAAATTGTATTAGTAGTGGTATTAAATATTATTATTTTTAATGTTTTAAACACATATATTTATTATGACTCAGTGAGAACAATTATAAAAATCTATGATTAATTGTTATTGCATTGTGTAATAATTACAATTTTATTTATCATGTGTTTGTTTTTTCTATTTCACCAAATCTAGAACATGGTGTGAGCTTAGTTGATTTCCACCCACTAATATATGCTTTTGTTACTGGAAATTGTCCACAACCACAACTGGAATTGAAATCATCTCCATCAAGAACCTCTAAGTAGATCCCTTTAAAGTTTTTTTTTGAGTAAGCCGCCTAAAATAAATAACAAAAAAATATTTTAATAGGATGGGAAAATGATTACAATTTTACTGTAAATTAGAGTGAGCAGAGTGAGTTACTGTAATAGATGTGTTAAATTTTAATTAAATTAATTTTATATGTCGTGTTATCATTGTAAACAAAAATCGATTGCGAATGTTGAAGATTTGTCAGCTTATATCATTAAGTACGTTCTGTGCTGTGTTTTTTGTGTTCAAAATTCAATCGTTTATTGTGAAATATAAATATACTAAATGGTATTAATATTAAGGTATGATCTGTTTGGTAAGGTTATATAAGTTTAAGTTAAAAATATCTCCAGCTGTATATATTTTTTTCCCTAAAGTTTATTTTATTACATATCACACTTAGTTTTTCACAGTACATTTCATGCTGTTTCTTCTCTTGCCGTCTGTGTATCGGATTTGTCTGACGCTATGATTAAATCCTGTACTAAAATTGGAAATTAAATAACCTTTAAAGTATATTTACTTGATCATATGAAAGCTGAGAAGGGCTCGCACACCAGAGAGATGAATTTGTTGTATTGATGCTACAATACTGTAATAAAAACAAAATAATGATTTTCAGTGTAGAAACACAAAATAAAAAATCTAAAGACAAAGACATTATTGAACCGTGCCCAAAATATGTTTCACTGAGAAAAAAACTGTTATCTGTAGCATAGAGATTAAAATGTTAGCTAATTTCACGTAAAGGCAACCAAGAAATTGCATATTCAGTTCATCAAATTATCTATTTCTATGAGAATTTGTGTAACTAAATAAAAAGATTTTATATTTGATGAGTAACTTAACAGCTTATATGTTCAAATCGCATTATGGATGAGAAAAAAAATGAATTATTGGTACTTAATATTTTAAAAGTATTTTAAGCACATAAGTAATTTAAGTATTACCGAAATACTTTTGAAAACATCATGAATATGAATTTTGTTGAGTTTTGTGGCTACAATATTGAAGTAAATATGAAATAGTAATTTTTTTTTGTATAGAAAAAAAGTATAAAATTTAAAACAAATTGCATATTGAATAAATTCATTAAATATGACAATGTTTTTCATTTGACGTTTAACAAATTGTTTTACATATTTATAAGATATAAAATTAATAAAATTGCTTAATGGAGTTTTATAAAAAGGCATAACTGTTCCACAATTTTTGTATCACGAGGTGTTTTTAAAATGTTGATACTTTTAATTTATATATATTTATATATATATATATCTGTTTGAACATCATTTATAAGTATAGCTAACCAGCTCATTATAGGTAGAGTATGTTTATAAAAGCATTGATTAAAAAAAGAGTGGAATGACTCGCAAGCATTAGTAATTCTAGCCAAACTTGTCGACTCAGCAGCCCAATATTGAGGTGGAAATAAGCTTTCTTTATTTATGAAATTGTCAGTTATGAAATCACAATATTTTTTTAATCTTTCATCATCAGAAGAGTCTGACATAAAATCATTTACAATACATTCTGGTACTTCATGTGGGTCAAAAAAAATAATCAAAAAGTATGTCTAATCCATTGTCCTATTTTAGAGTACATATTTTTATAATCTAGGGATAATCCAAATTTTTGTACACTTCGCCACCGAGCTTGAGTCAAATGAAATCTACAACCCACTATTTTAAAGTTAGGCCAAACAAATTCTACAGCTTTGTGAATTGTCATTTCAATGTCTATTGTGACCAGTTTTGGAGAAAATTGAATATCAAATTGATTTAATAGACTTTTTATCTTATTAAAAGTGTATTCATAAGTTTCATAACTTTTGTTTAAGATTAAACAAAAATTTATAGGAATATAATCACCATTTTTAAGTATATGAATGGTAAACATTTGTTTAAAAAACCGAGGACAAAATTTAAATGTACCATCCATATAAATTGTATCTATTTCAAATATTAACTTTAAAATTGTGTTACAAGAAAATAATAACAACATTTTTTTTTTTATCAATAAAAAAGTCTCACCTTCTTTTGTTACCGGTTTCATATCGTCTAAAGGTTTACGTACTCCCCCAACGTCATTAGGATTAAAAGGAAGAATTTTCTTACGTTTCTCATAAACATTTTTGCTTATTCTTTGAACGTCTATAATATTAGTATTCAATGTCAGAGTTTTACATATTTCTTCCATAATAATTTTTTTTGGTCTGTCATAAATATCTTCTTCGGCTTTTCTTTATCAAGCTGTATTAAGAGTTTGACGATCAATTAAATTTCTTGTATATGGATCATGATTTGCGTGTATTATATTTTCGTTTTTAGAACAAATTGTATTTGTTTTATTTGTATATAATATAGCAACACACTTACGATTAATGCATTTCCAACGAGTTGTGCCGTCTAATTTTGTATTAGCTTTTGAAAACTTATAATTTTTAAAAATTAATAAACACTTTTCCCGGTTACTTTCAATGAATTCAGCCATTATAAATTATTTTTGTTCTTTTAATTTAAATTTAAATAATGTCTATCACGACTCGGTAGGTACTAAAAAGTATAGGTACGTATGGAATGTGGCGCGCCCATCGCCCTTATACACTTGATATGGACCTCATAGTGTATCGCAATAGCTCCACACTGCTTTTAATTGGTGGTGTGGACTGGCCCTCCAGGTTGGGGGTTTAGCGCAGGGCTAATAACCCTGTTTTGTAAAAATTTAGTGTTCAGGAACCAAACAACAACAAGCCTCGGACATATAGATTCAATGGAAAAACGAACGGACATATGAAACATGATTTACTTTTTGGAACATGAAATGTGCGGACAATGTTCCAACCTAGAACAGCTATAAGTATAGTCAAAGAAATTGAGAAATATAAAGTCAAGATAGTAGCATTACAGGAAATCAGATGGGTTGACGAAGGAACTATAGAAATAAATGATACCACTATTTTGTATGGCAAATGCAATGAAAGACGACAGTTTGGAGTTGGTTTCGCAGTACACAAAAGCCTAGTACATACGATTAAATATTTCAAAGTTATCAGCTATAGAATTGCTATTCTTACAGTTAAGGCTAAGTTTTTTGATATAATATTTATTAATGTACATGCACTAACGGAAGAGAAGTCACAAGAAGAAAAAGAAGAATTTTATGCAGAGGTGGAAGATATCTTGTCAAGAATAAACAATAACAAAATAAGAATTATACTGGATGAAATGAATGCGAAGATAGGAAAAGAACAGTTCCTAAAACCTAACATAGGGAAGTAGTATAGCTTACACGAAACAACAAACGATAATGGTATGAAACTAATAGACCTTGCAACTGGCAAAAGATTCAGGATAACGAGCTCAATGTTTCCCCATAAGGATATACACAAAGGTACGTGGAGGTCACCAGTTGGACAACATACCAATCAAATTGACCATATCCTAGTGAGTGAAAGATTCATAAATGCTGTCAACGACGTACGAGTATATAGAGGAGCGGAGTTGGGAAGATCAATATTAAGCTGAAGGCGAGAAAACAGATTGATAACTCCAACTGTGTCAAATATGAAATATCAAAGCTAGATACCTAATGAAGATATCTGTAACGTTTTTTTAAATTGAAATGGAGAGATTAACACAACTAACAGATATTAATGAGACTCATAATACTGAATCACTTTGGGAGATTATAAAAAACATCATTACAAAGACATCAGAGAAAATCATCGGAAAACAAAGGAAAGCTAAAAGGAAACCACGGTTCAATTCAGTGTGCAAAGAAGCCATAATAAGAAGAAAAGAGGCGAGACTAAAATGGTTAACGGATACAACAAACCAAATCAACGGAGTTTATAATTGTTTCATACAATGTATGTGCGACTGTGTTTCGTGTTAAATGGATGACCACAATAACATATAACGGGTTTTCCATGATATAATATAATATAATATATATTAGATAAGATGAAAACGATAAGGTACAACATTTTGGCATTACTACTATACTCTATTAACTTTAGAGTATACTATAGGTATACTTCAGGCACATTATTATAACTGATTGGATGGCGTTTAACATTGTATTATGTCAAACAAAAAATAATGCTTGTTTATCTTTACTTCCGAAAAATCAAACTACGAACGAAATTAAACTTACATTGAAGAACGAAGACTAAAAAAATATTAAAATTTGTCAAACAAAAATTAATTTTTAATTTAACAGATGTAATTAATAATTATATATTAAATAATATGATCCGTTGTTAAAATTGTAAATTTAAAAAAAACTATGCTGGCAGAAGAGTGACACTGGCCGAAAAGGGAAGGGTAAATTTCGGTCGAAAACAGTGACGCCCTTGTCTACATAACTTTATTATTACGAGTGTAGAACAAGCGTTCTTATCATGAGGGTCTGATTTAAACAATTTGGTATAATTTGATTGGTATGAATAAAAATAAAATAATTGTTTAAACATTTTAATAATTCTAGGTTCAGTTAAATCTTTAACATATACTATTAAATATATCTACAATATCATATTCCACACATTGTAAATACCCTTTTATGTAAAATTCTACCAAATGTAATATATGTAAAACCTCTCTCCCTTGTTATACTTTAAACAAATGTAGGTTAATAATCTTTGTTGTTGAAGCCTTAATAAACTTAAAAAAAAAAAAAATATATATAATATTAATCATACCGTTGAATACGTAGTAATAATCTTCTTCAATACTAACGGTTGACCTCTTGTAATTCTTACAGTACACTGAAGCACCGCGTAAATTTTCGTCTTATCCATTGTTGAATTAGTTACAGCAGAAGTTATTATTTCCTGAAAAATTCTTTAATAATGTATTTTTAAATATAAATATTTTACTATTTTTAAGAGTAGGAACTAACCATAGACGTAATATTAGGATTTGGGCTTTTTATTGGAGCCACACCACATTTCTTAGTGACTGAATTACAAAAGTTTATATATGTAAATATAATATAATACATATCCAACGCTTCATTTGTTATTGTAAAATCAAAACCTTTAAGAACATAATTGGAAAATAAAGAAATAATATACATAAACATAAATTATAACAATTTTTTACTGTCCTTATAAGTAATGATATAGATATAATTTACTTACTCGAAGTATTTGAATACTGTTGATAGAACGCTCCATGTATGACTAAACCAACTTTAATTTTATGTTTTACTTCTTGTTTCAATCGATTGACAAATGAAGTGTAGTCTTTGGGAGAAACTGTTTTGTCCAACTTAAAAAATTAAACAATTTAATAGAAATGAAATAAGCGTGATGTAATATATTTATTTTTATACATAAGAATAAACTTAATGCTGAGTTGATTAAATTTTTTTAGCAATAAGTTAGAACTATATGGCTAATTCTCACAAGATAATAAAACATAGCTATCATTACTTGATACTTGTGATCAGAGAATTATAAATAATGGGTACACTCAAGTACTATAATTCAAAACCATGTTATGTTTCAATGATTTTTTTATGATACTGATAAAGATATCTTAGAAAATTATCTTTTCTGAATAAATTATAATCTCATAAAAGGACCTTTCGAAAATTGATGAAATATTTAATTTGCGTTTAGGCGTATTTTTATATGATTATAAAGACGAACTGTTTTACAAATACAATTTTATAATAAAACTATTTTTTATTTCACTTACATGAATATATCTAAAATAAATGACAATACCACTAATACTAAACGAATTTATAAAATTGACTAATGGATCCATTATTGTTTTCTTATAATTTTCTTCATTCTCGGGAACAAATATTGAGTGCCAATCTGGTTTATTATAAAATCCAATTTTTGTATAAACAACCTTTTTAGCATTTAGCAAAGTTTTCACCATACCTTTAAACATATACATTTTAATATATTAAAACACAGTATTCAACTATATTTATAAATAATGAATTCATATGTTTTTAACAGTTATAACTTATAACACATGATATAAAATAGACTGCTATATTCATTTTTACATTACCACTAGGTTAGGTTATTTTTAATAGTTAAATAGTGGATTACTGACAGAAAGAATGCAGCATATGACAGCATTGATCATTTGATCATATTTCATTTATTAATATAATTTTTTTTTAAATATCTTTCTTGAATGTAAACACTTGTAATATATTTTTAGCTATTGTTATTTACTAGTGTTGATAAATATTGAAAAATGAATATTAAATGATGAGTTATTTATTTGTTATTCGTTAACTTTTATTATCACGATTTTAATTATAGGGTTTACCCTAAACGCATGTAGTACATTATTTAATCCCCTTTAGACCATACTTTATTTTTTGATGTTTAATGTACGCCAATAAATTTTAACGCATTATTTTGTTTTAGATTATGAAAAAATCTTCATATGTTCCCATTTAAATATGTTTAAAAGAATGTTATATAAGTTTTCGGTGCACTTTCCGATAAATTATTTTATTACTGCTATCAATAAATGGCTTAGAGAGCGACCCGTGTGTAATCGTGACATTTTACCAAACACCAGTCATTGAGGTGCCGTGATCCCGA